GTTCTGGAATTGAAAGGACCTGTACCTGGAAAGCATACTCTTTTTTTCTTTTTCTTCTTATTTTTATTCCAATTTTCAGGTCGAAGTCCTTCTCATTTAATCTCACATGTCGGACAACTATAATAGCCTGTATGACCTTTTACTTTTAAAATTAATTTCTTAGCTGGAACATCACACACTAATGCTAAAAAATTGACGTTGTATTTTTTTCCATTATAATTAAAACTATTAGTGCAATAAAAAGATATCTCATCCGTAAATTCTTGCAAAAATTCGTTGGAATCGTGAGGATGAAAAGAATTATGATATGCCCCTATCAAATAGACGTTTTTTGTGTTGAAATCTGAGCACATAATTGGCCATAATGATTTAGCAGGTGATTTAGTTATTGGTAAACCGTCAATATTAATTATTAAATCAATTGTGTTTTGATTTGATTTATAATTTTTTACAATTGAGTTAAGAGCACGTTTTAAACCCAAGTGATGGTATTCGCCGCCATCAGATAGAATTTCTATAGATGTGCTTCGCGGTGTTCCTTGATTTTTATTAATTATATTTTTTGTATTGTGCTCATTATCCGAATCGATTTCGATCATTGTATCATCAAATAATATTTCCCCAAAAATATTTTTTAAATCAACCTCTTCTTTTGCTCTGATTTCAACATCATTGATTTCATCATCAGTGGATTCTTCAGTTAAATTATCAGAAGTTAACAGCTTCAAATCTAACTTTGATTGATCTTCTCGCAGTCGACGAATATGTCTTCTTGTATAAAATGATGATTTTGACTTCGGCATTATTTCAATCAGTCAAAGAATCAACTCGTTTTTCTGTAAAATAAATTTTTTTAGTCTTGGTATTGCACTAATATTTTTAAATTTATTCAGATATTCAGAATATCGTGTTAACATGCTAAGGATATCGGCAAATTACTCTCTAAAACTGAATCAGTGAAATTTGACTGAGAATCAGTGATTCAATTCTCAATATTTAAATCAGTGTTTATCTCAAAATCAGTTAAAAAATTGAAACAACAGTCATTTTTAAATGATTTTAAATTAAACATCACTGATTTAAATCTTGAGAATAGAGTCACTAATTCTCAGTGAATTTTTACTGATCTTTAGACAAATTTCTCTGATCTTCAGTGGAATTTCACTGATTCAGTTATGTAGAGTAAGATATTCATAGGACGTCCCAAGTGTATTCTGAGAATATCTTTGTTAGATTGAGTGTGTTTCTTTAAAAGAAATTGTCTTTCATTTAAAAAACATAACTCATCAGGAATTATCGTAATAATAGAAACAAATTTTTCTTTAATTTTTTTATTTATAAAATTTTAGTTATTGATAATATTTTAAAATAACGTTTAAATGTATACTTACAACAGTGTTTAAAATTATGAACTAATTTGTAAATCTTATGGTACGGTAAACATTAATGACATACATTAAAATGTCATTATTAATGTTAATAAAATTGATGTTTACTGCTGGTTGCTTTTGATTGATGAAAATCTGTTGAAAATGTATGAACATTTAATTTTTAAATATAACCCCTAAATAAGGTTAATTTTGATTTGTTTAAATTTTAATAGCGATTCTTTTAAAATTTGTCTTTTTTAACAATTTTTACTATTTTTTAACAATTTTTTATATGATTTTTTTTAATTTAAAAAAAGTACAATAAAAAATATTTTTGAAAAAAGTTTTAAAAGGTTAAATTTTTACTATTTTTAAAATATAAATTAATAATTGAATAAAAAGAATATTGATACTCGAAAAATAGAAATTTATGAGTTATTTATTTCTATAAGAAATGTTCAGGATTTAATTATATTATTACAAATATTCAAGAATTATTAAACAATTATTAATTATTATTAATCATTAAAAATGAAAAAAAATGTTGCTTACCTTTATTAAAATAATTTTTATAAATATTCTACAATCAATATTTGTTGGGAAACTTTACTTGTCAATCGGCAGTATATTTTTATTTACTAAAAATTTGAATGCCATGAAAAAATCTGCTCCAGATTATACTGTGATTTGGTTAGTTGATGAGGACAAGCCACGACTAGTTGCCTCCAAATGGATTATAGGAAATGAAGACGAGACGAGTTATTGCTTTTTGCCTTCTGACGTGGATAAAATTAAATTCAACTCTGCTTTCTTTAAACTTAAAGATGTGGAAAACTCGTGGCGTGGTAAACTCGTTAAGAACATTAAATATCAGACAGGTAAAACTATCAATAAGATAAAGTTATCTATGTTTTAAGAGCATATATTTTCTCCTCTTGTCGTTTGACATTATTTATTTGACTAGAATTTTTTTATTTAAATTTAATTTGATTAATTAGAAATGTTTTAATTTATATTCTTTTGCAATCTTAAATTGCCCTAATTTTTATTTATTCAAATCTTTAATTGCACACACGTATAATGTCAAAACATGAACAACAGCGCTTGGAAATAACATATATCTTTAATTTCAAGAAATATAAGTTCATTGTTCTAAGAGAAGAGACCAGAAAAATTTAACCTTCTCATATTGTTGGCATTCATTATTTCTTTATTAGATAATATTTAGGATTTATAATTTTTCTAAATTATTAAAATTTAATATTCTATTATTTTAAATCGATTTTTGGAAGACAGGTGAATAAAACACATTCACATATGTAATGACAACGTTTCGGAGGCACAGTTCGCCACCATCCTCAGGTCACTTTATTACAATCTAAACAAATTAAAAATGATTATATTCATAATATTTCTATGAAGCTTCATTGACCCATTATTCTGTATATAATGTGAAAATTGTCACCGTTAGACTCAGTTTGACTAATCACTTACAATAATCATGATCGTGATTTATAATTTAAACTTTTACAATTTTTTATTTGCTTTTTTACTCCTTTGATGAAATGTTGGTGCAATTTCTTTTAATTAGGTAGATATTTTTTTTAAAAAGAAAAATTAATTTTTTTTTTTGAATTTTTTGGTTTATTCCGTATGTATTGAATTTGTTTAGATTATAATAAAGTGACCTGAGGATGGTGGCGAACTGTGCCTCCGAAACGTTGTAATTACATATGTGAATGTGTTTTATTCACCTGTCTTCCAAAAATCGATTTAAAATAATACAATATATATACATATGGAAGAATTATCTTATAATAATCTTTGTATTCATTCCTTCATTCATTCACATTTTCTTAGCACTTAAAATTTCTCGTTATTATTAGATTATGTATATATACAGGGTGTCCCAGGCGAGGGTGTACATATTAAAGGTAGGTATTTTCGATTAAAAAATAAGACGAAGAGTCTTATGTCGTTTAAAAAAATTCCTCACCGTTTGCGAGTAATTAAAAAAAGAAAATTGACCAATTAGAGGCCGCGAAATGAGTTCAGGCGCCAAAAGGCATGGTCCCGCCTAGCTTTGGATTTTCCCACCAGCCCCACCACTCTAACCTTTCCTACTATTCCCATCTTATTGCAGGTAGGAAAGGGATGAATGGAGAGGGCAATAAGATGGGAATAGTAGGAAAGGTTGGAGTGGTGGGGCTGGTGGGAAAATCCAAAGCTAGGCGGGACCATGCCTTTTGGCGCCTGAACTCATTTCGCGGCCTCTAATTGGTCAATTTTCTTTTTTTAATTACTCGCAAACGGTGAGGAATTTTTATAAACGACATAAGACTTTTCGTCTTATTTTTTAATCGAGATTACCCACCTTTAATATGTACACCCTCGCCTGGGACACCCTGTATATATCTTTGCTTTGATAATGAGGGTTCTCGAGGGTTTCTACCTGCAATTTGTTTCGTCAAAAACAGCCTTCGGTTGAGGGTTTATTTTCTATTATTGTTTATATAAGATGGTCGATGATCGTTTAATTACTGTCCTGTAAGGGGAAGTGGTGTCCCTCATCTTATCAGCCGCGCCCGAGTTATAACCATGTGCTTATACTAGAGAATTAAAATGAAGTAGAAAATCTTTGGTGCCAGCACCTTTGGGTTAAATTGGTTTAAAACACATCGTATAGGTTTATTGTACCAAAATCATAAAACTTCTAAATATTAACATTTATATTTGGAACAACATATGCTCGTAATCGTGAAATTCTGCGAAATATGTCAAAAGGAATTAAAAAATGTTTATATTTAAAAATTTGGATGAAAAACTCATTGAGCGTTATAAAATAATATTGTCATTAAGCCTGAGAACGCCACACAGGCCCCCGCTGTAATTGACTTACTAGAGGTCCAAGCTCAGGTCAAGCCTGTAGAGCAGGAGTACACCAGTTCCCTTTACAGGACGCAATCCGTGATCGCCCGTTTTATCCACACAGCCTTGGGTTGAGGGAAATTTGTTTTCTATTATTGTATACGTGAAATAGGTGATGACCGTTTAATTCCCGTGAGTGGAAGTGGTGAACCCATACTTTATTTACCAATGGTATTGTAGTGTATTCGAGAAGGTTAATAATAATAACAAATATCCATATATATAAACTTGTATATTTTCCTTAAGACCACAGTGCTTTATCAAACAACATTACATATTGAAATTCAAAAATGTTCTTAGCGTTGATTTCGTTGCAAATTGTCATCAGCCTTCCTTTTCCCTCTCTCCTCTCCCGTGTTCTCCCGATGGCATGACCTGACCCTATAATAAACTCAAAGAAAGGAAAAAAGGGGGGGGCAGGTATGGAGAAAAGACAAAGGGTACTTCAACTAATAAGTTGGCTCGACTTCAGCCCTTGTGGCTGGCTATTATTTATTTTTCTTCAGTATAAGGGTTTTTCCCTTTATTACTGGCTCTCATCGGCTTTTCTTATTTAAGCCGGCTTTTCAGGTATTCAAATAAATCATGATTTATTCTTAAACGAAACAAAATTCGAACAACTGTGAACGCAAATATTTCTAATATTAAATAAAACGCAACTTTTAAATTCAGTATTTTACAATATCTCCTCCCCGTACAAGGCTATGGGGCTTGTACTTCTGTTAATTTTATGAGCTTTATGATCGGTCTTATAAATGTACCTTTTATTGTGCGCACCTCTACAACGCGTACTAGATTATCGCGTCCGGGAAACGTTCGTTCAACTATCCCTTTTAACCACATATTTCGCGATGACTGATGATCGGCGATCACAACCACTTCGCCTATTTTCAATGATTCAGATTCTGAATGCCACTTTTTTCTTGGAAGCAATGTAGGCAGGTATTCTCTTAACCATCGCTTCCAGAAGCAATCGGCAAAATACTGTGCTATTTCCCATTGCTTTTTTGGACATTCAATTTGTTGTTCGTGTCGTCGATAAGTTAAATTGCCAGAGGAGGTGCCAATCAAGAAGTGATTTGGCGTTAAGGCTTCATCATCTCGCGGATCTAAGGACACATCGGTAAGGGGTCGCGAATTAACCGAATGTTCTACTTCGGTTAAAAGGGTGCGCAGCGTCTCTTCTTTGGGAGACTGTTCTTTCAGTATCATCTTCAGCGCTACCTTTACTGAGCGTATCATACGTTCCCACGAACCTCCCATGTGAGGTGTTCCCGGGGGAATGAAACACCATTTGATCCCTTTTCTAGTGGCGGATTCTTGTTGAACGTCAAATCGTAGAGATTCTCGTAATTCTTTATCCGCCCCTCGAAAATTTGTGCCATTATCAGAATGGATTTCAAGGGGTCGACCTCTCCGATTTGACATTCTACAAAGAGCCATTATGGCAGAATCAGCACTTAAATTATCCACTAACTCTAAGTGGATGGCTCGGGTTGTTAAGCACGTAAACAACGCCACCCAACGTTTGTGCTTTCCTTTCGATAGTCTGGTTTTCTTTCCGACTGTGATCGATAGAGGTCCAAAATAATCTAGACCGCAATAGGAAAACGGTCGTTTTTTATACGCTAACCTCGCGGAAGGTAATTTCCCCATTATTTGCACTTTTGGTTTTTCGCTTCTTAATTTACAATACTGACAATGCGTTCCGATTGATCGCAAGGAATTTCTCAAATTTAAAATCCAATATTTTTGGCGAATTTCGTTTATTACTGTATTAGGACTCCCGTGTTTTTGTGCAATATGATATTCCTCTAACAACAATCTTGTGACGTGATGTTTACCGTCCAAAATTATCGGTTCATTGTCAAAGGAAATATCAACTTTGTCGGCTACTCTACTCTCTAATCTCAGTAATCCGTCATTTGACAGTTTTGGGTTCAAATTTGCAAGGCGACTAGATTTTTTTATTGGACTACCGTGTTGCAATTCCTTTATCTCATCTGAAAAACTCTGCTTTTGCGATTCTATCAATATTAATTTTTCTGCAGCTTGTAAATGTTCAACGGACAAAGTTCGATTTTTATTTCCTTTCATTTTATCTATCGCCAATAACATTTGCGCTGTGCTGCCTAATAACCGTTTATAGGAGGAAAAGTTCGAGGCAACAGGTATGCATTTATCTTTCGCTATGACCAATGTTGCAACATTCGGACCTTTCTTTTCGGCGCTTGCTAAATTGACAGAATCTTCGTTAAATATCGCGGTTTGATCTGGCCAGTCGGATTCTCTTTTTTTTAAAAACGGTGGTCCAAAGAACCATCGTTGATTTGAATTTAACGGGGTTTTACTGAATTTTGTTGCATCGTCTGCTGGGTTATCGTTCGTAGGGACCCATCTCCAATTTGAGGGTGAAGTTAATTCGCAAATTTCTCCTAATCTATGGGCGACGAATGTGTGATAGAATCTTGGATCTGACTTTAACCATAATATTACCGTGCGCGAGTCTGACCATAAAATTCGTTGATCTATTTTTAAATTATGCTCTTTTTCTATTGTTTGCGCGAGGCGACTTCCCAGTAAAGCGGCTTGTAATTCTAATCGGGGGATCGAGAGTGGCTTTAAGGGTGCTACTCTACTTTTATTAGCAATAATGCTTGTTTCAATTTGACCGTCTGCCTTTTCGAACCTCCAATAGGCTACAGCTGCGTAAGCTCTTTTACTCGCGTCGCAAAAGACATGCAATTCGGTTCTTTTTACATTTTCGTTCGAATATAAGTAGCATCGCTGCACCGAGCACGCGCCCACCTGTCTTAATTCTGCTAGCCACGATTGCCAAGTTTCTCTTTCGTCATCAGCCAAAGGTGAATCCCAATTAATTCCACTTATCCAAATTTCTTGCATGAGAATCTTTGATTTAACAGTGAATGGTGACAAGAATCCCAATGGATCAAAAATCGACATTATTATTTTTAAAAACTCTCTTTTTGTTGGAGGTTTAGCTTCTGTTAACAATTTTGCGGGAATTTTGTTTAGTCCTAAATTAAAGGTAAATGTGTCGGAATTTGTGTCCCAACGTAGTCCAAGGACTTTGTCAGATTTGTCTTCAACGCTATTTAATCTAAGGTCAACAGAACTATTTGTGCTATCTTGTTCTATCGACTTTAAAACATCAGGACTGTTGCTAGACCATTCATGCATGTGAAAACCGGCCTTTGAATTGATTTCAGAAACTTGAGTTATTATTTTGGTAGCCTTCGTTTTAGATATCACGCTGAGAAGAAAATCATCCATATATGTATTATTTATTATTGCTGAGACTGCTTCAGACATAATATTCGTGAATTCCCTGGCATTCGTGTTCTTTATGTAATTAGCGCTACAAGGAGATGATTTTGACCCAAATATTAAAGAGGTCATTACGTATTCTTTTGGGGGATTTTTTCTATCCATTCCCCGCCATAAAAAACTTTGAGCGTTTTGATCCTCCGCGCGAACTTTGACTCTAAGAAACATGTCTTGTATATCGCCCTTAATGGCAACCGGGTATTGTCTAAATCTCATTAATACGCCTAATAATGATTTTAATAAGTCTGGTCCCGCTAACAACTAATCATTATAACTAGTCCCGTTTGATTTCGCGGCGGCATCGAATCCTATTCTGACCTTTTTTTCTGGTTTGTTTGGATTTTTGATACCGAAGTGCGGAATGTACCAAATTCGTTTACCTTTTGAATCTGAGGGCGCTGGTTTGGCATAAAGACTAATCATTCTTTCCATTTGCTGACAATATTCTAAAGCATATTGGGGGTTGCTATCTAATTTTCTTTCTAAAGACTTTAGTCGGTTTTGGGCTACTATTTTGCCATCGGATTTTTCGACATTATCATTTTTCCATAGCAAACCGGTTTCCCAAGAATCACCAACGCGACGACTCGTTGATTTTAATATTCGATTAGCTCGTTCTTCGCCTTTGTTATTTTTATTTATAGCGAGTACTCCCAAAGAATCAATAGAGAAATAGTCTTTAAACAATTCATCCACTTTCTCCATTGATTCCGTGGGTTCGTCTCGAGTAGTATGATTATTTTGGTTCAATAAACATGAAAATGAAGAATTCAGATAGTTTTTACTGTTTATTGGACCGTGTATTACCCACCCCAATAAGGTACGTGACGCTGCTGGTAATTTTTGCTGAGAACCACGAAGTTCTCGTGTAGTAATCAAATGCCAGTTATCTTGGCCAATAAGAATACTCGGTTGAGCTTTGTTCATGGGTTTCAAGTTTATGTCCCGAAAGTGTGAGCATTTAGAGATAAGATTTTGTTCAATTGTTTGGATGGGTAAAGATAAATTTTTTATTGTATTTATATTTTGCAAATCGTATTGCCCGAATTCTCCTTTAATAATTAAGGATACTTTTTTACTAGAGGCTTCACCCAACTGGACATTTTGAATCCCCTGAACATGCAATGGTCTTTGAGGGCCGTCTAAACCGATACTCGATGTCGTCGCTTCATCTATAAGAGTTATTGAAGAACCTTCATCTAGCATTGCGTACGTTTCAAATCTATCCCTTGGTCCTATTAATGTAATTGGTATTATTTTTAATAACGTTTGTTCTCGTGCTAGTCATGTGGAGTCGTTTTTTTCGTTAGTATCATTTTCTTTTTGATTCTTGTTATCTAACCGATTTTCACGATGAAGTTTTAAATGATGATTTCGATTACAATTTGCTCTGTCACAGGGTTTTGCATCGCAAGCCTGCGACCTGTGACCAGTGGAAAGACATTTAAAACAAAGATGCTTTAATTTTACAATTTTCCAACGATCTTGAACAGATTTTTTATCAAAATTACGACAAGTATTTAAATCATGACCACCACGATTACAAAGCAAGCAATGCTTTTTATTATTATTTTCCTTTGACCTTTTATTTTTCCCTGTTTGTTTATCTGTATTGTCTTGTTTCGTCACAGTAAATACCGGTCGTGTATCTGTTGGGTGAGGGTTTTTTTGAGTAATTTTATCTTTTGATTGATTAGAGTCTTTTTGTTTTAATGTTACGGTACCAGCTAAACTAGCAAGTTCTGCTTCTTTGTACAAAAATTCGGATAATGTTATTAATTTTGGTTTGTCAGTTTGATGGTTTTCAACATATGAGTTATATTTAAAGATTAAGGCGGACGGCATTTGCCCCAAAATTTCTTTTGTTAAATCGGGACTGTATAAATATCCTGTATGATTTAATGTTTCGATAGCCGCTACGCAATTTTTTATTTTAGCTGCGAAAGTTAGCAAGTCAGATTTCCCTGAATATAACATAGGTAATTTTTTTATATCCGCTATAATTTTCTGAACTATTCTATCTTTATTTCCGAATCTCATTTCTAAAGTATCCATAATCGTTTTCGCGTTAGTAGCCGTAATTGTTAGAAATTCGACGCTCTCTTTTGCTTCCCCACTAAGTGCTTCGTAAACTCGTGCGACGTTTTCGTCTTCCGTATAACCTCCCAATTTTGAAGATAAATTATACGCTTGTTTAAAACGGAGCCACTCTAGTACATCACCGGAAAATTTAGGTAAGCTTTTAGCTGAAGTTAATCGGCTTAACAAATGCAGTGAATCGTTTTTTACACTTGTTTCTTTTTCCTGATTTAATACTGACTTTACGACCTGAGCCAAGTCATTACTTGATACTGCAGGAAATGCACCCCTTTTATCAAATTCTGACGTGTTATTATTAATCCACTTAAACACGTTTGCGTTACGCGATGGCTCAAGTAAAGAGAATCTCGATAGACTCGGAGATCCAGATTGTCGAAAATACTCGGATTGCCGAGGGGATCTAGATCTTTGAGAAGGTCTAGATCTACGAGAATATTCGGAGAGCCGAGGAGAATCCCTACGCGAAACTCTGGATTGCCGAGGAGATCTAGATCTTTGAGAAGGTCTAGATCTACGAGAATCTTCGGAGAGCCGAGGAGAATCCCTACGCGAAACTCTGGATTGCCGGTCTAATTTAGATTTCCGACAACGCGCACGCTCATTTTCGGCTATCATATGCCCCTCGCCCTGCACTACATTAAGCACTCGACCATTTTTATTAGATGCGACACTTACATGAAAAGATGACTTACCCCGTTGTTTCGGATTTGCGCCTTCAGCAGTACTCCTGGAAGTCCTTAAACCTGAGTGACTCTCCTCCGGACCAGCGCTGAAAGCCCTCGTTAACGTCCTTGAGGACAGCCCTGTGCTGTTTCCCTCCAAATTTAGACCTCGCTGTTGCCTTGAAGTCTTCGAAGACCGCTCCGTGCTCCCATGTACCAGTCGTGGATCCGGATCTCCCTTTGCCGCCCTGGTGGAAGAAACCTTTCTGCCCTCTTCTTGATCCGGTCCGGTGCTCGTCTCCGAAGCCGATCCTGAGCGACCCGTTCCCCGCTCTCTCGATGGGGTCTTCGAGGATGTTCCTGGGCCATCCTTGTCTTGGTTTGACTCTTGAGTCTCCGTTGATACAAGCACCGTAGTGCTTCCTCCAGAGCCAGTCCCACTCCTTGAAGGTGAAGACATTTTCGAGATACACTACTGTTCCCGGCGAAAGTTTCTCCCGGGTTTCGGCACCAAATATTGTAGTGTATTCGAGAAGGTTAATAATAATAACAAATATCCATATATATAAACTTGTATATTTTCCTTAAGACCACAGTGCTTTATCAAACAACATTACATATTGAAATTCAAAAATGTTCTTAGCGTTGATTTCGTTGCAAATTGTCATCAGCCTTCCTTTTCCCTCTCTCCTCTCCCGTGTTCTCCCGATGGCATGACCTGACCCTATAATAAACTCAAAGAAAGGAAAAAAGGGGGGGGGCAGGTATGGAGAAAAGACAAAGGGTACTTCAACTAATAAGTTGGCTCGACTTCAGCCCTTGTGGCTGGCTATTATTTATTTTTCTTCAGTATAAGGGTTTTTCCCTTTATTACTGGCTCTCATCGGCTTTTCTTATTTAAGCCGGCTTTTCAGGTATTCAAATAAATCATGATTTATTCTTAAACGAAACAAAATTCGAACAACTGTGAACGCAAATATTTCTAATATTAAATAAAACGCAACTTTTAAATTCAGTATTTTACAAATGGCTATGCCCGATAACGCCACTCAGGCCTGGCGCAATGTCTGCCTTATGCGAGATCCTAAAATAGGCCCAGTCCGGTAGAGTATAGGGGTATAACACTTTTGCTCACAGAAGTGGAACGGCTACTAAAGAAAACTTGTATATGGGTGATTCTCTCAAAAAGAACAATTTATTTGTGCACAATTTTTGGACGAGGTTTTTGTTAAAAAATAATAACATTAATTTCAATTAATGAACATTCTCCCAGCCATACGATAAAATTCAACAAAGTTTTATGGGATCACTAAAGAAAATTTCAAAAAAATGGCAAACAACTGAATTATTGAATGAAAACTAGTGTTAAAACTCCATTCCGTAACATCAGTTTTTATTCAATATTTCAGTTATTTTACCTTTTTTTAAAATTTTCTTTAGTGGTCCGATTGAAAATTGTTAAATCCTAACGTATGGCTGACAGAATTTTAAATAATTTCAATTAATTTTCATATTTTTCAACAAAATATCTTAAAAGCGTAATTTGTCCTTTTTGAGAGAATCACCCATATATACTTTATATTCCCAGTAAAAAAATTGGGAGTAAGCGAAAAGAATTGGTGGTAACTTAAGCTGAATTCGGTTTGGTGAAAAAACCGAATTGGAACGTTACGGTGAATTATTTTTTTCTTACCGTAAATTCTTTTCTCTTGAACATTTAAATTGACGTTTGTTTATTCGAGTTTTCATTATAAATAATAAATAAAATAAATGTTTCGAAGTGTAAAAAAAGCCGATTTGGACTAAGAAATATATAATTTTTTAAAAAGAAATAAAATATAAATGTGACAGATTTACCGACAATTTTAACATGTGAGTAATACTCATATGATAAATTTATCATATGAACACTACACACTTGATAAAATTGTCAGAGGATCTGTCACACTTCGCTTTTATTTCTTTTTAAAAAATTATATATTTCTTAGTCCAAATCGGCTTTTTTACACTTCGAAACATTTACTCTATTTATTTATAATGCAAACTCAAATAAACAAACGTCAAATCAAATGTTCAACAAAAAAGAATTCACGGTAAGAAAAAAATAAATCACCGTAACGTTCCAATTCAGTTTTTTCGCCAAACCGAATTCAGCTTAAGTTACCACCAATTCTTTTCGCTAACTCCCAATTTTTTTTACTGTGTTGGCCAACATTGGCAATAAGGATATTTAGATTTTGAGGATAAAATTGGTATTGAATATATTTTGATATTGGAAAAAAATATTAATTATTTGATAATAGTGGAAGCTAGATTTTGGAAAAATTTGTTGGTATTGGATAACATTGGCATTAAAGATATTTGAATTTTGAGGATAAAATTGGTATTGCATAGGGGAATAGTGTCAGGGTTGGACACTTGGCTTTTTTTAAATAAGAACACTAGCGCCACCTG